CACCAGCGAAGTGGGGCGGCTCCGAGGCGTTGGAAGCATGACGTTCATGGTACTAGTGTAGGGTTTAGGGTTTAGGGTTTAGGGATTAGGGATTAGGGTTTAGGGTTTAGGGTTTAGGGTTTAGGGTTTAGGGTTTAGGGTTTAGGGCTAGCCCCAAGAGGAACCTCGGAATAAAAAGGGTGCCCTTTTGGTCTAAAGTGGCTTGCAGGGCCTACTTTGGGTCTGCCATCGAAGACAATACCCATTCAATTCAGCTTCCACGTTGGTATCCCAGAAGCCTGCTGCTAAACCCTGTAAGCCTGAACCCTACACCCGGAACAAAGCCTCGTACATCACCTTCGAAGTTTCCCCGCTCAAATGATGCGACACACCAAGACAGAAGCCAACTGAACCTCATGAAAACCCACCTGAAACCCCCACCTCAGACATTAAAAAGGAGTCTATGGAAAGCCCTACAATGAATCCTCACATGCTTAGTAAAGCCTACATAAGGCCCTCCAATGAACCCTCCGAACCAAATAAAGAGACTCCGTAGCGACACTGCTAAATGAATCCCCGCGCACCTCACAGAGCTCGTCGAACCGTTCCTACGCCGACCGACACAGGTTGGGATGTTCCCCCTTATACTAATTGATAGGATTATAATGAGGGGGGGTATGTACTATGATCTCTACTAAGCACTGTTAGTATAAGGGGGAACATCCCAATACACAGGGCTTAGGGCCAAGGGTGCACAGGGCTTGGGCCTTTTTTCAAAGCCCTGTTTTGGGTTCAGATTTTGATCTCCATCTTCAGGCTGCATGCGCGAAGCCCTGTAGATCCCCCAGCGAGCCCAAAAACCCCTGATGAGGCCCTACTTTTATTCTCGGGGCCTGGACCAAGAAAAAAACACAACACCGGCGATTGGGGTCTTCTACGAGGTTTCGGGCCTGTCAAACGGTAGCTGTATGGAGGGTTTAGGACGCAGGGGAGGGACAGAGCTGTGGGGTTTAGAGGTGCATTTGGGAGGCAGTTGTAAACTCTGGGGGCTTCACTTTAATGGGGGGGCTCCATGATTCAAGTAGGACTGCAATGTAGAGGAGTGGGAGAGGTTTGGCGATTCTTGTTTGCCCGATTCGCGAAGCCTGAAGGCAGCTCACGTGCTCAGGGGTTGGGGTCTACGTCAGGCGATGACAGCGGTCATGACGATAGTCGTGGTGGTGGTGATGGTGCTGGTGCTACTGCTGATGATGATTGTGATAATCTAATAATGATGAGCACGATGATGATGATGATGGTGGTGATGATGATGAAGATGATGGTGTGGATGATGATTCTTCTTATTACTATAACACGTGTTTCTATATATATATATACATATACATATACATATACATATATATCATTCATTGCATGATGATGATGATGATGATGATGATGATGATGATGATGGGTTCGGGTTAGGGTTCTGGTGACAGCGGTCGGTTGGTAGCGGTGATGACATGGCATGAGAATCATGAAGACAGAAGCCTGCCGCATCCGAGTGCCCGAAACCCTTGAGCCCACCTAAACCCTAAACCCTAAACCCTAAACCCTAAACCACATGCTCCTGGGAGAGTAGGAAGGCATCGACGACCGTGGTATTGCCTTCGAGACTCTGCGTGCCCAGCCATGTGAAACATGGACGTATACATCATCTCGTACTGAAAAGGTTTAGGGTTTAGGGTTTCATTAGGGGCTATCTTAGACTACAGTAAGGTAGGAAAAATTATGGCCTTGCGCGGCCTGGTGCGAACGACCAGCAGATGGCAGAATGTCAGGGGATTGGGCATGGGGTGCGGTACGACGTGCTGGAAGCAGACCTTTGCAACGGTAAGACCTTCCAGTTGCGCATGTGGGGTGGTCGCCCTAAAACTTGAACTCTATAAACCCTACAAACCCGACATAAACACTGGAAACCCTAAGCCCTACACCCTTTACTCGTATGCTGCTCATGTTCCCGCGAGCTGGGGCGCTGAATCCTAAACACCCATGCGGCGGTCTTAGTTGCAGGCCGCGCTTCTGAGGAAGAGCTGACAGAGACTTTGCAGGTTCCTAAGGACCAAAATGAACCCCTAAAAGGTTTATGCATGGTTCATGTTAGCTTACTCATGAATATGCACGATTAAGCAGTCTAGGGTAACGGCCCATAGCTTAACACAATTCCTAAGGAATATAGTAGTACAGGTTATATGATCCCAATCTTGGGGTTCGTCTGATTTTTCCCCGAGGCTCTGATGCTTCTGAGACACCATCAAGGACAAAGTGTCGCCGCGTCCACGGGCGCGAGAGATGCCACATGCCGTCCTCGCAGAGAAATGGTGAAGAAACATGGCTAACTGGTAGTCCCTTCCCTTATACCTCGGTTCTTCCTTGGGGACCATATGAAGCCCAAAATTGGGATCCTTTAAGGTCAACCCTAAACCCTAAACCCCAGGGGCTCGTGAAACCTTTGGGGGGGGGGGGAGGGTATGTTCGTAGAATTATATAGGGGCCCTTATGGGAATACTATTAGTGAGGATTCCATCCCCTGCATTACATGAAGCAAGCCTCTCGACTTACTGTTGCTGCTTATGGTTCGGGCAGTAGGGCTGCCTTTTTCTTTCTCAGTCTACTAACCGTGATAAGATAACCCTAAGAACCCTAGTGACCCCAATAACCCTAGCAACTCTAACTCTAACCCTAGGGCTCCAAGTATACAAGTAATACCCGTGTTGGGGGTCCAAAGTCTACATAATTCCTACTTCGGGCTATTTGGAGCCTTAGGGTAATAACCCTTGTAACACTAAAGAATTGCTCTGCGCCTCCGTCTGGAGCCATCGGGCACTGCCGCAGGTCTGCTCAAAGAAGGCCTGTCTCCCAACAAGGGTATGTAAAATGTCAGGTGTTGTAGCGTCTTCTGGGTGGGGTCTACGGTTTTAGAGTTTAGGTTTTAGGGTTTGGGTGTCTCATCGTAAACGATCGCATATTTACCGTACGCAACGGAAAATAGCATATGATGGTCTATCACGGTGTGGCGTCGCTATAGTTTATCTTTATTGTTACATTATCATCGTCTTGTAGAACATTATGGTACAAAATGTTCTAGTAGATTGCAACATTTCAAGCTTATGGGCTGTTTTGCTGCGCGAAACTGTGAGGAATGTACTAAGACGTTTAAGAGATGTTTGATCAAACCCTCCTCCTGCGTTTTTGATTCGAGCTCTTCGGGTGTAGAGTCAGAGCTCCGAGCGGCATGATCCTTGAAAGGTACGCTAAAACCTAAACCCTAAACCGTAAACCCTAAACCCTAATCCCTAAACCCTAAACGCTAGCAAACCCTAAGTCCTAAAGCCTTCTAAGCCCCGAGCCCAAACCCTAAGGCTTTAAGGGCTCTTAATCTCAGGCTTCTGGGGCCCAGAAAAGGCATACTACAAGACAAGGCTTGGGGGTTTGGGGGGTTTAGGGTTTAGGGTCTAGTTTAGGGTTTTCTACAGAAGAGGGTTTCAGGATTTAGGGCTTAGGGTTAGGGTTTAGGGTTATGGATTCAGGCTTTGGGTTAAGGGTATCCCTAAAACCCTCTTTTTGTTTAAGCCCTCAAGCGTTTAGCAGAACTTTGCTGGGTTGTCTGCCTGCCGTTCGGGGAAGGGGCTGCTTTGGCCGCTTATAGCTCCCACGTAGCCTGCACAGATGCTGCCAGGACCAGGTTGAGGTATAGGGCTTCGTGCTTAGGGTTTAGGGATTTGCGATTTGCGTTTAGGGTTTAGGGGTGGGTTGAAGGTTCATGGGTACTGCTGAGTAGTGTGATAAGAAACCGAGAGTTGCCCTACTTATCACCCTGCTTGTAAATACCCATGACACTCCAAGTTGTGCCGGGATGATGAAAATGAAAACCAGGAATGCATAAAGATGTATATATATATATATGTATGTCTATAAGGGTATATCTATATATATATATATATATATATAAGGAGCACCCAAGTACACCTAACACATCCAGGTTTGGCAGAATGGTCTCTGGATTCGTTCGTCTCACTCAGTTGTTGTTTCCTGCTTCGAAGTCCACCTAAGTTTCCAGCACAAAATACCCAAACCCTAACCCTATAACCCTAAACCCTCAACCCTAAACCCTCAAACCATAGCACTCTGGCCCTACAAACACTGAAGAGCACAGCTAGGTTGACGCGTTGAAAGCTACCGGAAGCGGTCTATGGTGGAAGCTGTACCTTACAGCAACCTTATACATTCAAAAAGGCTTTATGGGGTTTAGTGTGTAGGGTTTGGGATTTAGGGGCCAGGGTTTGGGGTTTAAGGTTTGGGGTTGAGGGTTCGGGGTTCAGGGTTCGAGTCTAGGGTTTCATAGGTCAAAAATATTCTAAACCTAAAATGTTCTGAATACCGACCCAGGCCAAGCCTACTTTGAAGCGGCGCGGGGCGAACAGCTGCTGTGGTGCCACCTATGAGGTTTAGGGTTTAGGGTTTAGAGTTTAGGGTTTAGGGTTTAAGGCTTAGTACACCCTAAGAGAGTTTTGGGGCTTCGGGGTTCAGGTGGTTTCGTCCAGTCTGTTCGCGCAGTGTCACAGGAGCGGCCGTTGGGAGCTTCGTCCTGGTTTAGGGTTTAGGGTTTAGGGTTTAGGGTTATAGGGTTGAGGGTCCACTGCAAGGGTCAGGGTGCAGGGTTTAGGGTCTACCTCTTTTGCTGTGGCCGAAGCCCATGGTGCACGTTGAGGATGAAGAGGTCAGAAGATCCAAACTGCGTGCCTGGACCCAGCAAGTCCTAAACCCTAAACCCTAAGCCCTAGACCCTAAGCACTACGACAGCACCAGAACAGCAACCAAATGCCTGGTATTCAACTGTGTTCATGTCGACTGATGCCTTTGAAACATTTAGGGTTTAGGGTTTAGGGTCTAGGAAGCTTGGGGAAACAGATGCTTTTGAAACCTATAGGGTTTAGGGTTTAGGGTTTAGGGTTTAGGGTTTAGGGTTTAGGGTTTAGGGTTTAGGGTGCCAAGAGCCCAAGTCTCCCGGCATTGCGAAGGCGCGACGCAAAGGGGATCAGCACGAAGCGATCCCGCACGCCTTCGCGGAGGCTTTAATTTCCTGGGGGATCACATGAACCCGAAAAGGGTTTATGGTTCATATACCTGTCAATAGAAGTTAGAATAGTATAGGGAGTATAGGGAATATGACCCCAGTTTTAGGGTTCATGTGGTCCCCCCCAAGGTTTAGGTTACTTAAACGGCGTAGGGCTTCGAGAGGTTGAAGATTTAAGGTTTAGGGGTTTAGGGCCATGAGGTTCAGGTGGTTGAAAGAGGGGTTCTTAGTTGCTGAGTTCAGAAGCCCCAAAAAAGTGCACACTTGCAGTTCTACAGGGGATCATTGTATCCCAAAAAGTGTAAAGTGCACTCATTCAGACGGTTCTATCAGGGGGCTTTTGGGGAATGTTGCACCCCGTTTTTGGGGGGGTGGAGGGCCCCGTCTGAAGGGCAAGCTTGCTGGCGTAAGCAGGGACCTGCGACATACAGTATTGAGGGGAAGAGGGACGACGGGCCCTCCTTAAACTCGCCAAGCAGTTGCACACACATGGCCATGCATTGTCCTGAATATGGAACCAGCCCAGCAAACAAACGTCAGAAAAATAAAAATAAAAAATGAAAAACGCGCCAAAGCAAGCTTCGGACAACGGCCGGCCCCAAAAGGGCCCAAAGTCCACCACCTCGACGGACGTTATCACGAGCATCATCGGCTGAAGGTTTCTCACGTCGAGGCATAACCCGGAAACCCAAACCCTAAACCTGAAACCCTAAACCCTAAACCCTAAGCTCTAAACCCTAAACCCTAAACCCTAAACCCTAAACCCACAAGGGTGCAAGGCCAGGGTGTTTCGGGTCAAGGGCCCACCACTGTAAATCTGCGAGGGCTCCCAGGAAAGAATTCACGTCGCCCTGAACCAAGCTCAATCCAGCCCCTGACGCCGGGTTTAGGGTTTAGGGTTTAGGGTGTAGGGTTTCGCCAACACCACTCATTCAAAGAAGGATGGTCGGGGGGGCCACCAAACAATCCATGAAATAAGAAACCTTTGAGCCTTAGAGAAAGATGCAGTCATGCACGGCCATGTACAATCGTAGTAAGCAATGAATAGACACATGTCTAAGGTAGCATATAGTTGCATTTCTTGTTAAGTAACCCCCCTGAACCCTAAACCCTAAACGTAAGTCCTGAACCCTAAGCCCTAAACCCTCAACCGATTGGTGCCGTAGGCCCCGGGCTCCAGCTGTCTGGCTGTTGGCCACACGGGAGCGGACAAGCAACCTGGGTTTGATGCATGCAGGAGGTTGGGGGGCTTGGTGTAGGGTTTAGGGTTTAGGGTTTAGGGTTTAGGGTTTAGGGTTTAGGGTTTAGGGTTTAGGGTTTAGGGTTTAGGGTTTAGGGTTTAGGGTAAGCCCTAGACCCGACTAAATGCTAGGAGTTACTGGGGGGATCGAGGGACTTTGTAAGTAAAGATAAAGATACCCGAAGAGAACCTCTAACTGGGGTTGGCTCTAAGGACTCTCGCTGTGGAGGCCATACGCTAGGGCTTTAGGGTTAGGACTTAGGTTTTTGGGTGCAGTTAGAGCCGAGATGTGCCAACACAACGGCTTTCGGGGATTGTTTTTTTAGGGGATTCTTTTGTGCCTGTACTTTAAGAAAAGTAACATATCCAAAAGGCCCCCTTTGACTTGGAACACTTTCCCCTCCCAATTTAAGGAACCAGGAGCGGTCAGTACCAGCCAGTTTTTGGCCGATGGCTCGTAGCTTGTGAGCTGGAACGCAGGCTCGGTGTCGCGGTAAAAGGCGAACCTGAAATTGATCCTATGTGAGAGGGGCCACTTGTAGTTGAGCGCTAAACCTTACACCATACTAAACTAGGGCTTGTTGGGTGGTACCTTGATTTACTTCAATGGTACCAGGGGCACTTAAGTTTGCAGTTTCTTGCCATGCCCCTATAAACACTGAAGCCCTCAGCCTTCATTCATAAACCGTGAACACCCCAAACCCCAGACTCGAAACCCGAAACCTCGGCGGTTATTGTCTACCTAGACCCTTATAGTATACCTCAAAACAGTCTAAATATACCCGAGAACTACGGTACACTTCTCTTTCTTGCAAGGGTATCAAGGTTCCTCCAGGTAGACATTTCTTTTGGAAAGAGCCGCTACAGTGCATCTCGAGTAGTGAACTTCTCCAGGAGGCGTTCAGGGTTCCTTGGAGTAGCCTGCAAACCAAAAACAAGGTAAATGTACGCAATGTGCATTTCGATTGTTGCAGAAAAGGCTACTCTAGCTAGGATGCAAGGTTTAGGGCGTACTTGTCAGGCTGATTCTCACAAGAGGTGGGGGCCCAAAGGTGGGGGTTTGCAGCCTCCTCTTTGCTAGCCGAAGGTTTTAGGGTTTAGGGTTTAGGGTACTACGAATCCTGAACCAAGTTGCACCTGCAACCGAGGAATAGACAGGGTTTAGGGCTTGAGGTTCAAGCTGCTTAGTGTTTGGAAAGGGAGCCTGACCTAGTTCATGGTTGGGATAGTATTAAATATGAAATTTCAAGTTCTTATTGAGTTTAAGTACCCTTCAACGTGTAAAATGTTACTCCACTATGACACAGTAACCCCCGAAACAGTCCTGCTGCAAAGCCTAACAGTTCGACCCTAAACCCCAAACCCCAAACCCCAAGCCCCAAACCCTAAACCCCAAATCCTAAACCCTCATCCCTAAACCCTAGTCCTGCTGCGACACTGGGCCCCGAGGCTCTACGCCAAAGAGGACCATGTGGTCTCGGCCACCGTGGCGACGGAAGTGAGGCCTGAGAGACACTAAACCCCCTAAACCTTGAGCCCTAAACCCTAAACCCTAAACCCTAAACCCTAAACCCTAAACCCTAAACCCGAAAAAGGGCTTGCTGTGGAAGGATGCTCTGTCACGCCTGATAAACCTCAAAAAAGATGCCTGGAAAAGGGGGCCGGCTTTATGAGAGCAGCCCCTCCTGGCCTGAGATTGAAGCAAGTTTGTTTGGGGTTTAGGGTTTAGGTTTTAGGGCTTAGGGGTTTAGGGTTTTACGGTTTCGGGTTTGAAAGAAAGTTGGGTCATGGAATGGGTCTTGTTACGGGCTGCTTGGTTGTTTTGGGGTGTAATGTGTTCAGATTGACGGTTAGGGCGGGGTGGTGGCGGGTATAGTATGCTGTTGAACTTGTTCAAACCTTGAACCCTATGAATGCTGGGGCCTCGGGATTACGCCACACAAAACAAAAATGCGTTCCTGGGTTGGACAGCTCATCCCGAGTATGCCTGAAAAGAGCTCACCCTAAACTCACCCTAAACCTAAGCCCTTCTTCTGTTCATGCACACACCTTCGCCACCCCCGACTTCCCCTCTTCACCCCAGCCCGAAAATTCCCTATACTACTAATTGCTTAAGAATCCCCCCCCCAAAGAATGAAAACATTCTTCCTTACAAGGGTAGCATAGGGATTCTTATCTTTCATGTTTTTGCTTTTTTCTTTTTTTTTTTTGGGGGGGGGGGGTGGTTCTTAAGCAAACAGTTTTATATCAGCCATCAAGACAAGTCTGAACAGCTTCGGGAACCCAAGAGACTCATACTATCAACCCCCGACAGCTCCTCTAAGGGTCAGGCTGACCGCGCAAGGCTGCAAAGGTCTCGGCAGTGCACTGCATGGCCTGCATAACCGTTCTGTTTCCATCTCTTCGGTCTTTCGATCTTTCTTTCGCTCCTTCGCTCTCTCTCCCTGTCGCCCTCTCTCTCGCTCTCTCCTGTCTCTCTCCTCTCTCTCTCTCTCTCGGTCTCTCTCTCTCTCTCTCTCTCTCTCTCTCTCTTAAAGACATTCAAGCATGTTACGTTCAGGATTGAGTGCCAAACCCTCGACCCTATACCCTAAAGCCGAAATATCGCTCTCAGTCTCCACCCTCAAGGCCCTCGGCTTTTGATGCGCACCTCCAGAGTGCCCATCCAGAAGAGGACCGAGAAGAAGGCCGGAATGTAGAAAAGGTCGGCCTGCCGGGGTTTAGGGTCTAGGGCTTAGGGTTTAGTGTTCTTCTGTGAGTTGGGTTCAGAAAGTGTATGATTCACCTTATACCCTAATGCTCAGGGTGGAGAACTACCCCAAGTCCTGTAACTCAACTTTCCAGAGCCAGCCACCTCCTATAGGTTCACCGTAAACCCTCTGCCCTAGACACCCAGAACCCAGAAAATTCTCTCGAAGCCTTACATGGCTCCTTCTGAGGGGTCAGGGCTTCAGGGTGTGGGGTATAGGGTCTGAACCCTAAACCCTAAACCCTAAGCCCTAAACTCTAAACCCCAAAGCTTCGAAACCGCCATACCCATTTTAGAGCCACTCTTCAGTGGGGGCCTCCAATGGTTCGGCCGTCACAGCAAAGCCCTGGCCGCCCGCCAGGAGCTGCTCGTGCCTTGTGCCAGCCCCCGCTAAGTCCGAGTTAGGAGTTAGGGTTTAGGGTTTAGGGTTGAGGGTTTAGGGTTGAGGATTTAGGGTTTAGGGTTTAGGGTTGAGGGTTTAGGGTTGAGGGTTTGGGGTTTGCATAGAATGTTCACAACTTCAGCATCTTTCTTTGCCCCTAGATGAGGCAGCTGTCAATCATGCCCACATAGCCCTGAACCCTGGACCCCAGACCCTATACCCGAGACCCTAGACCCTAGACCCTAAACCCTAAACCCTAAGCTACGATACAGTGCCCGCCCCCTAGGCCACGTAAACCCTAGGCAGCCCTAAGTCCCACAAAACACTAAGTAGTGTTTAGGGTTGAGGTTTAGGGTTTAGGGTTCTGGGTTCGGGTTTAGGGCTGCAGCCCGAAATCTTGTACTTTTTTCTGGCCTCCCGGCGCGAGCTCTGCGCGTGAGACAACAGGAGGAGCACATGGACTCCGAAATCAAAACACTTACTGGTTCTGAGTAGGGAATGCGGGAATTCAGGTACCCTACATACTCCCTTAAGGGTACAGGGTACCTCTTCCCTCATTATCTACTTAGAACCAGGGGGAATAGAGTCCCTGGGGGGGGGGGGGGGGGGGGGGGTGGGTGGGGGGGGGGGTGGGGGGGGGGGGGGGTGGGGGGTGGGGGGGGGGGTGGGAAGGGTGGGGGGGGGGGTGGGGGGGGGGGGGGTGGGGGGGGGGGGGGTGGGGGGGGGGGGGTGGGGGGGGGGGCGGGACATTCTTTGTAAGGTAGATAAGAGGTATAACAAAAAAACATAGAACAACCTTATAAACCCCAAAATCTGAACCCTAAAACCCTTTTGTTGTTCATTTGGTCCCCAACCATGTGCTATTCTTTTGCTGAATCGAAAGCACAAACCCGAAGCGCTTACGCTGGTGGCAACTTGATGCTACATCTTTGAGGGAAGTTGCTGAGTTCATAGGCCCCCAAACAGTGCACACTTTCAGTTTCTATAGGGGATTATAGTATCCCAAAAAGGGTCAAGTGTACTCATTCAGCTACAGCCAGGATGGCCGGAGATTGTTCCACTCTAGCTTCCTAACATCAGCCAGCCTCCCTAGCCTAAGCCCTGAGCCCTAAGCCCTCAGCCCGACACCCGAAACCCTAAACCCTAAACCCTAAACCCTGAACCCTACACCCTAAACCCTAAGCCTCCCTCCATGCAAAAAGCGCTGGAGCTTGCATGCCACCCATCTCACCTCAGCAGGAAGACAAGCACCCCATCTCACATGGTCCAGGGCTGGACAGCACGAACCTAAAGCCCAATAGGGCTGAAACCGAAACTCTGAACCCAAGAAGCCAAAACCCCCACTGATTCGACCCAGAGTGTGTAGTTAACTTAGGGTTTAGGGTTTAGGATTTAGGGTTTAGGATTTAGGGTTTATAAGGTTTGGGCTTCAGGGCTCAGCCGGACTTGTGTGCTTGCAAGGCCCGCTAAGCTGGCCACAATGGCGTAAGGTTCAAGGCTCAAGGTTTTAGGTTAGGCCTGGCGCGATGGTGGAGTTTAGTGCTGGCTTCAAAGGGTGCTTATAAACCCATACCCATACTTGATACTTGCACTAGAACTTGCAACTCAAACTCTCTGAACTCAAAGACACAATGCCCCCAACAAACCATCAAACCTGTTTGTCCAAGAGAGTCCACATGAAGCATGGCTCCGGAAACATGCGGCCTGCACCACACTCAATAGCGGAATAGCGTGTTTGGGTGCCTCGTTTACAGACTGCTGCTCCCCCTGCCCAAGGCCCAAACAAGGGTCCTATTGAACGATGCCCAAGCCCTATGTTGCAGTCGTCGTCGTCGTGGTGGCGGTGGTGGTGGTGGTGGCGGTGGTGGTGGCGGCGGTGGTGGTCGTCGTCGTCGTAATCGGAATAGGAATAGTAGTACTACTAGTAATAGAAATAGTACCAGGAAGAGTAATAAAAATAGAAATCGTAATGGTAAGAGTACTAGCACTCGTAGTAGTAGTAATAATAATAATAATAGGGAAAGCAATAGTAATAGTAGGCAGTAGGCAGTAGGCAGTCGGTACTAGTCGTCGTCGATTTGAGGAGACAAGGCACAAGCTCCCAAGGCCGCGAAGGAGCAGCGCGCATCCGGCGCCAGCCTCCGCAGAGGTAGGCAGGCGAGCCTCGCATGTCGGAGTGGCAACTAGGGTTTAGGGTTTAGGGTTTGGGGTTTCGGGTTTAGGGTTTGGGGTTTAGGGTTTAGGGTGCTGTTTGGAGGGAAGCTCTTCGTTTAGGGTTGAGGTTAGGAGTCTAGGGGTTTGGGGTTTAGGGACAGGAAGCCCCAAACCAGGCCTTATGTGTTTCGAGCAAGAGTGTGGGTTGGCTTAAGATAGGAGCGGCTTAAGGGTCGCAAACTTCTGGGTTTAGGGTTTAAGGTTGATAGGGTTGAACAACACTGCCCCCCCCCCCCCCCCCCCCCCCCCACCATATCCAGCGAGGAGCAAGTTGAGCGAAGCTCGCCACCGCGCAACTCTGCCACTGCCAGTCAGCCCATGACTCCACGTCAGCAAGTCGGCTGAGACCTTCGAAGCCCCCTTAACTCCTAGCCCCTACCGGGGACTCTATTTACCTACAGTTTAGTGGTAACTACCTTCATTGGTAGGCATAACCCATAAAAGAAGTAGGTAAAGAGGGTCCCAGGTAAGCCCTAAACCCTTCCCCCAAAAAATAGAAGTGCCCGGTAGGGGCTAGCTGCTTGGGGCATTAGGGATCTATCTGTGTTCTTTGTTTGGGGGGAGGAGGGCGAACCATAGGGGGGCATGCTGAAAATGAACAGATGAACTCAGAAATGACCTTCGCTAGCTCTTTTAAGCCCTCCTTTCGGGCTTAGGGTTCAGGGGTTAGGGTTTAGGGTTTATAAGGGTTAAGTGCTGCTTCGCAGTCTTCACCACCACCTGTGTCTCGGCATCGAATTCGGAAAGCTCATTTGCAGCAGCAGCGGGCAGCGGGCACGGCAAGCAGAACTGCGACGAGCTGACACAGAAGATCTCTACTGTTGTTTGACTTCGAAACCCAGAAGGTACTGCAGTGGAGCGTTCGGGTAAGGTCCCCAAAATCCTAACCCCAACTCAAACCCAGCTATATTCTAAAAAACACTATGACGATAACGACTCCAGAGGAAAATTAATAGGTGGAGCCTTCTTAAAACCTATGCCCTATACCACAAGTCCTACACACCCCAAAGCCTAGACCCTTAACCTCCTACGCTTCAAGTTGCGGGTTCGTTGTGGGAACGAGGGAATTACGATTATATCCCGATTAAAAACCCTTCAAGGGATTATGTAGGGTACCTCATTCCCTCATTCCCTACTAAGAACCAGCCAGTCAACCGAAACCCTAAACCCTAAACCCTAAACCCTCAACCCTGAACCCTAAACCCTAAACCCTAAAACCCTAAAACCCTAAAACCCTAAAACCCTAAAACCCTAAAACCCTAAAACCCTAAACCCTAAACCCTAAACCCTAAACCCTAAACCTCCTACGCTTCAACCGCAGGCCGAAGCGCAGCCGCATCTCCCATGGCTCGAAGTGTGGCCAGAGTGGCCGTCCAGGGGCCACCCGGCTCCTTCTTGATTTAGGGTTTAGGGTTTAGGGTTTAGGGTTTAGGGTTTAGGGTTTAGGGTTTAGGATTTAGGGTTTAGGGTTTAGGGTCTAGGGTCAGGCTTTCTTATTAGGTTGCCTAGTACCCTAGGATTTACAAAAGGGTGCCCCTTTGCTTCAAGGGGTTGATAACGGAACCTAAACCGAGAAAAAGGAATAAGGGCACTACTGGGCATCCTGGCGTGAGGGTTCAGGGGTCTAGGGGTTCAACTGTTAAGCCTTGCTAGAGGGAGAGCCAAGAACTGTAACGTTGAAGGAGGGCCGGTTTCCAACTCTTGCCCTCACAACGCCCACCCCCTCCCCCCGCCCCCTAACCATAGACCCCCTTCAACCCTACCCCCTCCTCTGATGTCTCGACCGGGGTGCTGTTCCAGTTCTACCACTCCCACATTCGGGTCGCCTGGTCTATAACTTGGACACGAGCCCGCGTGTTTCAACAGGCTTCACACTCTCCCGTTTGGGTTGCCTTGCCACTGGGCGGGACCAGACTGAGGTGGGCTGCGTTGCATTAACATTACTTGGAGGTTCATGGTACTCAGTAACCCAAGTATAACTGTACTTATGACCCAATTATGACCCCATTAGAGTGCTGAAGGGGCCATACCTACACTTATAATTAGGTTGTAAGTACCCCGAACTTCCAAGTAAGGCTTGGAGTTCTGGGTGTAGGGTCCCATATCCACCAACATCTGCCTGATCGGGGCCAGCACGTCGTGCTGCTGCCTGTGGCTGCCAGCATCCAGGCCCAGATGCCTCGGACGCAGCACAGACCAAAGGCAGTGCAGCTTGGGAGGGTTTAGGGTTGAGGGTTTAGGGTTGAGGGTTTAGGGTTGAGGGTTTAGGGTTGGGAGGGTTTCGGCTTCCGGGAGGAGGAACGGCACGCGGCTGCAAACAGCCGCTAGGGCAGGCAGAGCTACAGTGCCTGGCTTCTTTCCGGCGCTCCCATTACAAAGGCCGGACTGATGGGCGGGTAGTTTAGGGCTCATCCCTGCAAGTGAGCTTCACCCCGCCACCCCGCCTACTGACTTTCGAAGAATCGCGGGCAAGGGTCCTATGCCTTCCCACACACTTGAGCCCCTCGTGCCTTGATTTCTCAAAGCTATGGGACTCATCGGAAAGACATTGTGCGTCTGGTTACACAATAGAGCCCATTCCGCTTCCTCAAACATGAACTCGCATCTGACCCAACGGCAGGCATGCTGGAGGTTGTTGCCTGCTTGAGACAAAGCCCCCCCCCCTCCAACGATATTTTCCATGGTCATTGGTTGGTGTATAAAACGCCATTGCTCGTGGCACCGCGTGCAGTTTGACATGCTGACATCTGCTCTGCAATGTGTTGGAAGCCGCTCCAT